AACTCGGGCATTAGAACCCATTACGGCATTTTCATCCTCGGCAGCAACGATGAGCATCACTCCAACCACAAGGGAGCCCCGATCTGATGCACGACTCCCTCTAACAGGAAAACACGATGCAAAAAAGAGCAAGACGATTTCACATTCCCGCAGATGAAGAGGGACGAAGCTGAAGAACGCAAGCCTAAGTGGCGGGTTTCTTTTCCTTCCCTTTTCCCCCCTTCGGGCCCCCCTGCGTCTCGAGAGTGGGCAGGGAAAGCCATATAAATCTCCACTGATGGAAGGCTACAACTCTGTCAATGGTCAGAGAAAATCTCTCGACTGATTACATGCTAGCCTCCCTTTGATAACATTCACTTTTCCTTCCCCTAATCATCCCCTTCCCCCCCGTCCTAATTATTATTTATTGAAAATTGTCTGTAGTGGAGACGATAAATCCCGACCGTGATTTAAAGTGTCTGCTCTCATAATGAAGCTGTCTTCTTTTCTATTGTTACCCCTCCGATGCCCCCGGGGGGCAGGAGGGAACAAACAATGTGTGGCCCCTCTCCATTCTCCAAGGCCGGACGCACGAGAAAACCATTTAGGACTCCGTTCGGAGTCGTTGAATCGACCTCAGCCGGTTATGAACAGCCATTACGGGAGTTAATTGAGAGAATCTCGGCTATTCGAGACGGTACCCAAGGGCCATTAGCGCCTTATTGAAGGGTCGTGAAAGTGAAAGAGAGAAAATCAATTGCTGCGGGGGAGATGGGTCCATGTGGCGGGGGGATGCGGGGCAGGGCATTCCAGCGGGGGAAAGTCAGGCCCAGGCCTGCCGATCGGGCTAAACCTTGCAAAAATCCTCCTGGGAACAACGGGGGGCGCGTGGGGGGGGGGGGAGAGAGAGGCCGTGACAAATTCCCTGGAGAACGCACTCGGAATGGAGAAGGGGAGAGGACAATAATCATTTGACAAATGCAGTGCCGGGTGACAAACGAGGAGAGAAGGGAAAGGAAGACAAGGGAACCCAGCAGCGGGACAAAAGAAGGAGCGAATCAAATGGATTAGGGAGCCGCGAAGGAATCAATGACCATGATGAGAGAGAGAAGAATCTGTCACATTACCAACTGGATAATATCTCTATTACAGGGCCCCTAGATTGATTGAGCGTGCTGGGGTCTGATTGGTCGAGAGGCGGTGAAGAGGTGGGACTTGGAGGGGTAAAAAGGGCGGGGCTTCACCACGCTCCTCTTCCCTAATGGCTCTCGGGGCAGGGGAAGCGAGGGAATGTGCGTGCAGTACAGTGCAGTCAGCGATGCAGCCGAGGAATCATTCAGCAGTGCCTGCTCTACCGGTGTTACCATATTTTGCTGCCTCCCCCTTTGGTTTCCCGCGCCCCCCGTTGTTCCCAGGAGGATTTTTGCAAGGTTTAGCCCGATCGGCAGGCCTGGGCCTGACTTTCCCCCGCTGGAATGCCCTGCCCCGCATCCCCCCGCCACATGGACCCATCTCCCCCGCCAACTTTCACGCTTCCATCCACGATGATCCGTGCAAAAACAGTGAGTCCGTCGAATCAATTCATTGCCTTAAAACGGCACGGTTCATGATATGACCAGGAAGAATGCTAGGAAAACTACTGGAAAAAAAAATGGTCGTCATAATTGGAATCATGCTTGACCTATTCCCGTGATTAACCCCTGCACAGCAGTAGGCCCAGTTAAATGGGGAAGGCCTTCGCTTCAAAAATACTTGCTTCACATCAGTTAAAGTTTATTACCTTGAGATGGAGAAGGGTTACAATCCTATATGAAATAAAACACTGAAACGGTCACAGGTCAAAGTTCAAAAGTTCCTTCCCGATGATGGTCCCGCTTCTCAAGGACCTAAATGATGAGAAAGAAATAGGGTAGCTCAAGGTCCTAGTGTTCACGCAAATTGAAGGGTATACGATAATTCAAGTAAAATTAACTCAGGGACATTCCCTTCCGTATTAACCGCCAGCTGGGCACGTCTGGAGGGACACAAATGTGACATTGGCAATAGCCTCTGCAATTCCTCCTTGATGGCTTCAGCAAGCACTTGAAAGCATCCCTCTTCATTACAAGCATCGATGAACGAAAAATATGAGAAACCAGAAGAATCCGCTGGGCAAAAAAAAAAAAAAAAAACTGTGGAAGCCGAAACCATCATCAATCACGATGACCAAAGAGGTGCCAGATGTAAGGTTTGAGTCAATACCGCAGACATTCGTTGCTCAGAATGGATGAAATCCATACTCCTCAACTACTTTCTTCCGGAATTGCTTCACGGATAAGCAATTTTCCTCCGCGAGAACCAAATCACAGGTGTAATCCACACCATGCCTCGAGGAAATCACGATCGTCTGCATGGTAAACGATGACTTGCTCTCTAACCAGAAACCAGAGGTTGGAGACGAATGAAGAGACGCAGTGAAACCGTTGGTTGAATTTGATTGAGCATTTGGTTAAGCATGTTGAGGACGATTTGCAGAATATTTTTGAAACAATCGCGGTTTCATCCAGCTTGATTATCGTCAGATTTCAGCACTGATCCATCAGCACAGTGGATGTTTCATTGTCATTTGTTTTTGGGAGGAAAGGTTATGCTTACGGTTATGCATCTCTGGTGCACCACAAGAGTCGTGAAAAAAGGGCAATGTAGGTCATGCATGGTTCTGATCGATCTCAACTTCTTTGTTTTTTTTTGTGCATGTTAGCCGATTCAAAGGGGGGGAAAAGAGAACCCCAAGTCCTCCAGAACCGAATTAGCTGCTAAATTGAAGAACTCGATCTCGGTGAGGCGCAGACTCTAAGGTCCCCAGAGAACTTCTTCAACTGCTTCTTGCTTTTTCATGCGTTTCTGCAAATTTTAGAGCAAGAACCTAATAATAAATTGATTGGTGTCACGCATTTCGGTCAAGTGGGATACTTTTGTATTTCCCGGCCCTACAATACATATCAGGCTACGAGGTGAAAGATCAGGAGCATCTAGGAAAGATAGTGATGAGATACCGAAGTACCCCATACTCAACTGTATGAAATTACCTGTACATGCACGGAACTGCCCCAAATCCTCATCTACAGGGTGTTTCCAAAGTCAGGAAACGACGAGGAATGCTCTCATTTCCATAATTGCTTTTAAAAAAAAGGAGACTAAATCGAGAACCAAGCATTAAGGTCCAGTCAATGAGGCATGAAATCCATAGGGTACGATGCAAAATCTCTGGTGGAGTGGAAAAGTTTCCCCGATGTGTTCCAGACTTGCGGTTCTCCTTTATGCGATTATTTGCCAGACGATATTATAGATGCACTCTGAGTCGCATTAGGTCAGAATGGTCTATCGATTGATATCGAACACTGCAGGTACATCAATGACCCCCTTGCGTCGCCGACTGCGAGTTTGGACAGCAAGCAATTGCTGTCCAAAAGGGAAAGGGTTTCCGGGAGGCAATCGTGTCGAATCGAATGAAGCCCCATGTTGTTCTTTGAGGTGTCATGAAAGGGAAGGGAGCAGAAATATCGGTCCTCAAGGGCACACTAAAAAAAAATAAGGCCTGTAATTTACCTGATTTATTCTGGAAATCTGAGGCTTCCTTGAAAATTTATTTCTTTCAACTGTAATAATACGGAATGAAAGTCCGCTCTTCCTTATCTTTAGCAAGGGGAGATCGATCTCTCTGTCTGTAGTATTACAAAGGGGAGGAAAAAAAACCTTTCAGAGAAGGCAGGAAATTGAGACTTCCAGCGTAATGCTATTGAATTTAGGGCATGCCAAATCGTAAAATGACTCACCTCCGATCGAAGCAAGACGAAACTTCTCAAAATAGTACCCCCCCCCCCCCCCTTCGGCCCAGAGTTTCCTCCTCTTTTGTTGGGCCGCACGCCGGATCGCAACCAACTCTCGCCGCATTTGGCCCGCAGGCCGTTTATTTGACAAGCCTGGTGGAGAATCTACTGGACTGACTGAATATTGTGGCGAAGCTTTAGGCAAATTGTAAAATGCTGGGGAAAGTTATGAGCATCTGAGAGTAACAGCTTCAAATCGTATCTGGTGGAAATTGTGCAAAATGCTGCAAGAAGATCCGTCAGGCCCGAGAGTCCATCCGAGAGTCATTTCTGGGTTCGATAGTCTTCGGTGATCCATGAGCCTTGTCGATGGCTCATTGGGTTCGATGTCAGAGTTTCTCTTGGATGGATTCGTCTACAATTGCCGAAAATTCAAAAAAGAAACTCGATATGGCTTACCTTCGCTTTTTCCAGCTAAATTTATCTTTGTTTTAATTTTTTCCCCCGTATTTCTTGCTCTATGATGCAGAAATGCATAACAGAAAGCAGGTCTCTCCGTAACTGCGGGAACGATTGGTCATAATTATCAGCCAGAATTCCTTCAATGTACGTGAATGGTTCAGGTCTTCAGCTTCTTCGGACCACCATCTTGTCCATACGATTCCGCAACCTGAACCTAAAATTAGCACAACGGTAGCTACATGCGAATCGCAAAAGCCTTCAAAAACATTCCCGATTGCGAGTCTCATGTCGAAGAAGGGAACGTGGAAATATCGCAGACCCGATTTTCCGTCTAAATCGAAGCTCCATGCACCATATGGACCTGTTACATGAGCCCAGAAATTATTGTCAGATGGTCCCTTCAGACTTGACGGATCTGATCGTTGCATTCGCGCCGCCATGCCTGTTGTGATTTCAGGCAAACAATTCCTTTTATCGCGGACGCTCGGCTTTCCCCGTGTTTGCCTGACGACTGGCCGCAATTTTTTACTCATTTCACGAAATTCCGAGGCAGATCGAGGGAAAACGTGAACACTCCAGGCGAAGAGTAAAATTACAATAAAGGTTCCATTATTTACAATGGGGGTCATGTCGACACATCACGAAGTGACGGATTTCACCATCTGCCGACGGCATCACTTAGCTCCATCGCATCTGATAAGGCCGGATGAAGTTTCGTAAGGTTCGGAGACCACTCTAACGTAAAAAATCATGTACAGTGCGTCGACATTGTACCCACGGCTTATGTTCTCCCTAGAGAATATAAGCCATGAGTAGAATTGTATCGAGAATAATAATTATACCCGTCACAAAGAATCAGGGAAATGAAATTTCCTCTGCGCACTGCGGAACCTACTGACGAACGAACATTTTTCTGCTTGCCAAATCAGGCGATGACCAGTCGAGCGGGGACGATCAAGACAGCAAGCGCCGCCGGACGAGGACCAACTTCTCCAGCTGGCAACTGGAGGAGCTGGAGAGGGCCTTCGAGAGCTCCCACTATCCGGACGTGTTCATGAGGGAGGCCTTGTCCATGCGGCTTAACTTGCCGGAGTCCAGAGTCCAGGTATTGTTCGATTTTTCTTTGTTGCTTAATTTGTATCCTCTGACTGCTGGAACCGCGATTTGTCGAAAGACGTAATGATGATGATGATGATGATGGCGCGAAGTGATAATGGCGACACCGCGAGGCGATAATGACGATGAGGAAGAGGAAAGAAAAATCAATGACAAATAGCGCTAAATGGACTTCATTTCAAGGACATTCACCTATTGGCTGGAAAGTATTCAGATTCCAAACGTGTCGTCCCGAGTACTTAAATAATTACTCAAAAACTAAGCAGTTTTTTAATTATTATACGCAGATAGGTATAATTATACTATTATACTTTTTCAATTGAAGAATTGGATGAGTAAGTATTTTCTTTTAAGGATTGAAATCGTTCCTGCTTTGATAATTACTATTTTGTCGCCTTCATTTAAACTCTTGTCTTCGCTCGCCGATTGGCAGGAAAGAGATGAGAAGCATGACAGTGAACAAATGAAATGACTGATTGAAAAAATTAGTTTTCTCGAGTACTCTCAGACAGCTCGTCATCGAAGCACGCAAGCACGAAGTCACGGAGCGACTGCAATCCTGACATTTCCATTCCGGCTACAGACAGGGTCATTTTTACACCCAGCACACGATTCAAAATTTAAATGTCACTTTGGACCTGAAAGGTCGGGGCACTTTGAAATTCGAGGCAGTGGAAATTGGCGGAGGGAATATGGCGAATGGATCGATGGCGTCATGAATCAGTCAACTGAGGGGAGAAGGCGGGTCGATGCTTGTAAAATAAAAATAAAAATAAAATACGAAACGCACGAAGTTAAAAACACCGGTAGTCTATTTTGGGCTCGTGTAATGATGTCATGTAAGGACGTAATTGGATGACTAGATGGCGGATGATGGCGGACATGTTTACGCCCAGGGCTGTCATGATTTCCTCGTTCCGCTTCACCACCCTCGGGATTTATTATCCCACGCCTCGACTCCATTTGTAAGGGAAACCACGTCATCAATCTGATTGCTCCTTCGAATCCACGGGAATGGAAGGGCTTGAGCCCACGGTTGAAATTTTTTTGCGATTTTGCAATACGCTTCAAGGTCGGCGAAATCGAAAATTTCCGCGAATCTTGCCGTTCCGAGACCGCGAAGTTCTCGAGTCCGTTGGGAGCTTCGAGTCAGCAGCAATCAGGACAAGTACGTAATCGTGTGAATGAAATCGATGTTTTGGCACCCCGAGATTACGGGATTCCAAGGACACACGATTCACAACAAAATATACACCGATCGCAGGATATAGAGGTATCATTTCGCGCGGTTCCGGAAACGCGAGACGGATGAGGTACGGTTAATGAGAGGCTTCGGATTCGATCGCAGAAGGCGATTACGTTCGGGGCAATTTAATGCTCGTTATACCGACCACAACTTTACCCACTCTACCGTTGAAAAAAATTAAAGGAAAAAAATTTCGTGGAGTCAATCGTCCTGAGAAATACGTCAACGGAAACCCATTCATCACTGTCGACTACATGGAACCATGACGCTGCAAAGTTGCCGCAAGTACGTCGTAATTGCCTGCATCATTGAAATAATTTCGCACGTGACGAGGGATGAATCTGCACTCCGAGAGGGAATCAATCGCCATCAATCATCTTTTTTCCTCGAACCAGAGATGGTATCGGGAGGTGATTAGTGGAGGATTTAGAGGAGCGTCCGATGCGATGAAGTTGGAAAAGTTTGCGCTCGATGGAGCAGATCATACGCATCGACGTCCGCAGATACCATCTTCCCTTCACCTCCCCCTTTTCCATGTTTCATCCACGCAATCTTCAATCTCTTCGCGCGGCCTATCGGTTGATGGGCCGCTGCCTACATTTAGGCCCTTCACCCCCCTTCCCCCTTCACCCCCCTTCGCTCCTCTTCACTCCCCCTCGCCCCCCCCCCCCTCGCAGCATATGGCATGCAGATGAGGCTGTCGTGTCTCGCTCGACTAAGTTCATCCGCGAAACGTGTCAATCGAGATGGCGGTCTTCGGACGGAACACCGCCGAGGTTTTATCCACACTTTTGAACCTGCAGAGCGCGACTCGGCAAAAACGGGGATTCGAAAGCCCTGCTACTGACTGTCAATTAACCGAATGCCGCATCCTGTCCTGCGTGATGCACATCAACTCGACTTCCAGCACGCTGGATATCACCCAAAGACTGACGCGACGGAAACAAAACTCACCTCGTGTTATCATCGTGTTATCCGGACAGAATGCGGCTTAGGTTGAGACGGACTTTGTATGCCCTGCTTACAAAGGATTCAGACTTTCCTTGTTTCCTCTCTACTATGCCGACAAAAACGAACCCGAGCGAGTGATGTCAGGCCCTCCATGATAAACCTATAATAAAAAATCGGAACCATCGGCGGGTTGGGGCATCCTACTCTGGGTAGGGCGTATCAACCGAAACTCTTTGAGTGGAAGACCTCCGCTCACTTACTAGTACATCAATTAGTACTCGCAGTGAGAGTAAAACTAAGAGTTGTGATGCAGACTTGACATGCCAGGTCCATACCGCAGCGGCTTGTTTTGTTTTGTTGCACAAAATAAACCCCAATAAACTTCTCTGTCTGGGCTTGGCTATTTATATCGCAAAAAGAGAAGTGAATCGTGCCTGAGCTAATGATTAAATTCGCAGCAGAAAATCATAAGAGCATTTTCCAACTCAAACTGCACGGGCAGATCGGTAAGACTGTCTTCGGCGACATAGTCTCGGGAAAATTGTTTCTCGGACGAACCCTCAAAAAATGCGGCGAGAATGAAAAGGCAAGAGTGAAGACGAGAAATCAACTGGCATGAACGAATCCATCCTCCACACTTGGGCGCTTGGCAAGTTAAAGCTTTAATGGATTTCAACCCTTCCATCAGAACTGATTTTTTTTTTTAGGAGGGGGGGGGGGGGGGGGGGTAACAGTAAGTTACATACCATACTGGTTGGGCTGCTACAATTGTTTGACTAAGTCTGGGTAGATCCTATGCTTCAATGTAAATGCATCGTGAATGAATCCGTCTGTTCGGTGTTTACAAATTCATTTAAGAAAATCAGTTTTACTCGCACTTGGTGAAACGAAAGGGTAACAGTTCCGAGTTTTACAGCCAATTGTCAATACAATTAAACTCCTTCTAGGTGTAACTACGAGGTACTTTGACGATGGTTATTTATGATGGCGTGTTCCATCATTAAGCCAGATGCGAGGCCGTGCTCTTTGCTTCATTTATGTCATCACTGTTCATTTTCTCATCGTCTGTCCGTTATTCCGGAAAGAAAACCTGCATCCTTGGTACCGAAGCACTATTATTAGGCCGTAACACGCCATGATTGGCCAGCACTTTGTACCGACATTCATCGCTAATCACCGACAATGTGGTACCTGTGACTATTAATAAGGTGGCCGCATTGAATAGGGGTTGCCAGAATTTTGCTTGCACTTGCGTGCTAGTTTTTTCTTCGCGAATGAGAAATATTCATTTTTCAGAAGATCTACGTTATATCAGAACTATTTAGGCATTTATAACCTGCCCAGAAAAAACTAGGGCCGACTTCTCGACATGTTTCATTGAAAAATTCAAATGCTCAACCGTCAGAATTCTGCACCTGTTCTCATCATGGAGATTCGATACACCGTACACCCACGCCAGAGACGAGGAAGCCCAACAAAAGATCCCTCTGCTCCTTGAAGATCGGTACAAGAAGAAATTTCCAGGAGATGCGAGGCTGAACTAGAAGGGCATGCGTACTATGACTGAAAGAAATAGATCTTCCACGGGGGAAATTTATATGCCACAAGCGTTCACTTTTTGCTGGTGTGACAGTAGAGAGTTACCAGGCTATCCAAAATGTACGGATTTGCAATGAAATTTGAAGTCTTGAACGTGACAGTGATACTGTAATCTCATGCGGTCGCGCTTAATGGCTCTCTTCCGCCGAGTTCCAGGTGTAAGGTAAATCAAAATGCCAAGATAATGAAAATCCATGAATTGCCTGCAGTCAAGGGGAGTCTACCCACGATCAATCGTGGCGCCCTGAACAGCTGAGCACCAGACAAATTTCTCTGGCAGGTGTCTGGCGTACCACCTGTCCTATGCCATTGCATCACTTCTCAAATGGCAGCCGAGCTAATCGGCATCACGAAATGCTTCTCAAATGAACAGACGCAGCATGAAAAAGCCATTTTGATGGATAGCTTCATTTTGATCCTAGATTTTACAGATGGAGTGGAAGAATGATTATGGAAATGAGTGCAACCCTCGCAAAATAAACTCCGACTTAAATGGAAAACCTGAATTAAAATAAAATCAGAAAATATAAAGCTCCAATTTCAAAATGTTGGAAGAGGTGAATAGATGATTAAAAATAGCTGAAAGTAAATCTCGGTAATTTAAAATAATGAAGTTATGTCTCGCAGAAAAAAGTTTTTTCCCACCTTGGTCAAGCTACTGTGAATAATAAAAATGGGAAGTCTCTCCTATGCTAGGCATTGACACCCTTGCCTAATGTCAGGCAAGTTGCCGCATGTGGTGAAGCAACCTTTTCTCAAAAGTGCGTTGCTGGGTTCTCGCTGGACCTGCATATAACAGCAACAACAAAAAAATCCGGAAAAATAGAGAAAGTGAAACGTTTCTCGGGAACTTTCGTATCTCTCCCATCGTATTTGCGCTACCTGAATCTCCAAAGCAATATGATACGAGGAGCTACATTCCATTCGTTATCTCATTGCTAGGTGTGGTTCCAAAACCGTCGAGCAAAGTGGAGAAAGAAGGAGCACACCCGGAAAGGGCCCGGCCGACCGGCTCACAACGCCCACCCGGTCACCTGTTCCGGCGAGCCCATCCCCCCTGAGGAACTGGTCCGCAAGGAAAAGGAGCGGCGGGAGAAGAAGCTCCGGAAGCAGCTGGAGAAGCAGCAGAAGAAGCTGGCCGCCAAGGGCATCACCACGGACCTGGAGACCCTCCGGAAGGAGTGGGAGAGCAAGCACGCCGCGGGCAAGAAGTCGGGAGGGAATCATCATCTCCTCTCCTCCGACAATTCCACCTCCGAGGGCTTCGTCGACGTCGTCACGAACCCAGACAACGAGGAGAACGACGAAAACGACGACGACGACGACGACGACGACCTCAAAAAGAACAGTGCTTTCAGTGCCGTGCGCCAGGAACAAAACACCATCACTAACAGCAACAACAACAACAACAGTGCACCGAAGAGCACCACTAACAGTATGTCCTTCAGCATAGACAGCCTGCTGCGGCAGCAGCCCTCTCTTGTCAAGTCTGAATCTCGGGATTCTCCATCGAATTAGTGGTTTCCTACTACTTCTCTTGCATCAAACATATGTGCAATATCGGCGATCTATATATTATTAAATTATTATGGATAGATTTTGGAAATGAAGTTGCTCTCTCACTTGATCTCCATGCCTTCATTAGCATTGCTTTTCTTCGACAGATAAAATATTACAGATACTAATGTTTTGAAATCCTGAGGGCTGAAGAAGCGGAGAATCACCATTCATCGAGTATTAAATGAGTCATAAAGCTGAGTAGGTGGAAACGAAGACGAGTCCTTCAGGGGTCGGGCAGACCATGAATTGCGACGATGCATCAGCATCCATTATGACGCTGCAAGAGGGTAATGTTTATTTATTGTTATTTATTAATATTGGCTCATTGTCCTAAGCCGAGAAGGATGGGCCGAAAAGAGTATGAGAAAACGAAAGAGACAATTAGGAACACTCCCTTTCTCCGTCGTCAATCAGGAGCAGCGATGGTAGCCTGTCTTCAAGAAGAATCTCTTAACGCAGAACAGTCCACACATCACTTTTACTCGAGAGTGACGTCAGCTGTAGAAAGCCGCCCGGGAATAAATGGAAGAGAGCGGGCACTTCGCCCATCCGCATGTGCGACTTCCACGGGCAGACACGAAATGCTGCAGAGAACGGGGCGAAGCAGACCTTAACGATGGAGGAAATGTACTTGTCGGTTTTCAGGTATCAATTCAGATGTGAATGCCTGAAGTGGTAACTGCGGATGAAGTTCCTCATCTTCGATGCCTTTCTGCGGCGCTTTCCGCCGCCTTTTCGATGACGATTCCCGGTCTAACAACTTATACATGATACAGTCACACACGAAGGCACGAAAGATTCAAAAATTTTTCAGGACACGAATCGAATGGAATCTTTTTCATTTTCTATTTCTGAATTTCGAATCGAATCGACAAAAATTTCCTCGGATCTCGAAGCTCATCTCTTGACCTACATCCGAATCAAACGTTGTTGAATATCTAGTCGACGCTCGATGGAACGAACTTGAGGGAACAGACTAAAAAATGTCTCTATAAAGAAAATTCGTGATAGGAGATTCCCCACATTTCACTGAAAAAGAAGCCTCAAACAAAATGTCATTTTTGGTCGAAAAGGATGCTCATTCATGAAAAAAAAGCGAGGGTCTTTAAGAGCGCGTCATACCTCGTATTGCAAAAATAAAGGTTCCAAGATGTGTGTATGTACCAAAATAGGCGTGCACAGAGTATGTCCTTATTAAGAATAAAAGAAAATGAAAAATAAAAAATCGAAGGAGTCATGGGCACTGTCTATTCTTACATCGGACTCAAATGGTTGTCAGCCAGGATCTTTCCTTGACTATTCTTTGAGCCGTGGTCTACAAAACATTCAAAGTGTGAAAAGTTTCCGGCTCGACATTCCGCCTTTGATGAACGGCCAAGGACAGTCGAAGCCTTCGACTGTCTGACCTTAAGGATCCTGAGGAGATTGAGACTGACTGACGTCTCTCCTTTGCCCTCGACGGCCTCAGCAAAAAAAGTGAGCACAACAGGCTAAATTTAGACATGAGATGATGAGATTTTCGAAAGAAAGAAGAAGCTCTGACGTGTGCCGCAGATATAAACTTCATAATACTAAACAGTTTTCTTCCTTCGCATGAAAAAAATGACTTTGTAAAACCAAACAATTCGTTATATAGGACTTAGTTATAGAGAAACTTTTCAACATGTGAATGGGAATGGGAATGGGAATTTAAAAAAAAGTTTAAAATAGAGGTTCGTTATATCGAGCGTCAACGGTAACCTTTTAAAATATAAAAAATTTAAATACTGATGAGTTTGACTGTTGTCGGGAAAGATACGGTCCGGAGACCCCGTGGCCATGAACAACGTTCACCACGAACTGGTACTGCGGAAGGCAACGACATTTTCCCTATCGCAGTAGGAGGGACACACAGAATTGGCAATTCTCGGGGCGTCCAAGATCCTCTGACCGTACTTCCGCGACACGAACCTGAAAACAACCAGCCGTGAATACACTCCTCCGTGAATTCGCAAAGCAGCCAGCACACGCAGCGCCCATTGTTTCCACTCGCTTCTGGACTCGCCAGCTGGCATCTCCGATTGCAAACGAGTCTCGTGAATGGCAGGCGTGTCGCCACGCTTGCTGGAAAGCTCATTTCGAATCATGGATACCCACCTGGCAATATCTGCGTCGGAGCAGTTATGTTTATTACTCGTCTACGGTGTCCTCAGTATTACTGTTATTCCAAGTCATCCATAAGACCATGCTTAAAGTCGACCGAAGGTCTTCTCCGAGGCCATGGAGTTCCCCTTTTCGAGCAGTAAGCCTAAACTTAAACGGCAAACGATCGACCTATGCAATCGATGCGAAGCCAAACAAAGAAACCAGGAAGAAACGATTGGACCAAGAAAATTAATATCCCAGCCATTCATCCAAAGACGCGACACCCCCCCGACTCTCCGCCCCCCGACATCCCCAACGCCCCGCCCCGCCCCGACACCCCCGAAGAAAGCGAAGGGACGACCGGCGACTCCGTGCGCCGCAGAGCGGGATAGCGTCGTCGGCTGGTCGGCGAAATCTGGCGACCAGGAGGATGTGATGCCGTCGGCCAAGTCTCTTCGCGACTTCATAATAAATTTATCGTTAACTCGGCCAAAAGTCGATCGTAGGAGTAGGGTAAACAGGGGAGTAGTGGACCACTCCTCTAAGTTCTTATTCCTATAAGATGCAGAAAAAGCTTCAGTGGCAATCTTCCCTTATGTTAGCATTAAGAAGCAATGTTCCCCTCAAGGGCTAACAGAAAGTCAGCAACATCTAGGATTCTTTGTGGTTACTATATTGTCTCCAAGTTTTTCTAAGGGTAAACTTATGCAAAAACTTAGAGACATTTTAGTAACCACAAAGAATCCTTGATGTTGCTGGCTTTCTGTTAGCCTTTGAGGGGAACATTGCTTCTTAATGCTAACATAAGGGAAGATTGCAATGGAAGCTTTTTCTGCATCTTATAGGAATAAAACTAAGGAGTGGTCCACTACTATCGGGTGGTCCACTACTCCCCTGTTTACCCTATATCGTTTTCAGCCCTCTGGAACACCAACAAGGAGGAATGCTGACTGTCGCCTTAACGATAAGCGGGCCAAAACTGTCGTAACGTTAGCAGAATAACTTGCGAGGGAATTTGATCCGAAACACAACGTAAATATGCTCCGACGCACGCGAAACCTGTTGTGATTCCTCGCCGAACCCATCGGCGCGAACCCTCGTGCAATCTGCACCTGTCCAAATCAGGAGACTTTCATCTATACGCCATTCATCCAGCGAATAACGACGGGCTTTTAGGGAAAAGTAAAAACATGAGGAATGATCGCACTCGACGCTGAGGCTCCGCCCAGTTCAGCGGAACAAATAAACTTATTTCAGATGAGTAAACTGGAAAAAAAAAAAAACTCTTTTCAGGCAGGTCGGACGTAGTCGTTCTCTTTCAGTACGTGATGTGATTTCTCTGCCTAAAGAGGTTCGGCGAGTACTGTACTTGAACCCGGAAAGGTTAGGCCTACTGAGAATATGAGAAAAAAAAGACAGGCTAGGCTAGGCCTACTTAGGATATTAAAAAAAAAAGACAGGCTAGGCTAGGCCTACCTAGGATATAAAAAAAAAGACAGGCTAGGCTAGGCCTACTTAGGCGAAAAGGTTTACTGGGCCATTCATGGTCAAAGGTTAGTTTGGATCAGGCCTACGTCGGGGGAGCTTGAGGCTTGGCCTAATCTTCTTCATTTATCGTTCTCAAGAACGGCTTTGCTCCTTTGAGGAAGAGGCGTTAGAAAATACGAACTCACCCGGCGAACTGAATTGCAACCATTCGCTCGTACTCTTCTTTCGTTGCGAGGTTTGTACTTGTGCCGTCGATGCCCCGTGGTTACATTGTCTCTGGCCGATTTCTCTCTCGCGATTGGCGAAGTACCACTCTCCGCATCTTCACCACGAATTCGTCGATGAAAGAGTCGTGAAAACCGGACAGGAAACCGTTCCAAGATGAGAATCGCGCGCGATTCAGTGTTGCTCGATCTCAAAATTCGCCCATTAATTCTACATTCTGATGTTTAGAATCGCATTTTAAACTTTTAGAATCACATTTCGATGTTTGCGAGTAAATATTAGAAAAAAGTTAGGAAACTCTCCGAGTCATTCTCCTGCAACCGATAAAGTCAGTCGCCTCCAACTCCCCGAACCTCCAAACCGAATCGCGAACCGAATCCCGATCCCTAACCCTGAATCAGGAGTCGAATCGCGAGTCTCAATTGGAATTCACATCTCGCCTGCCTCCTCGCTTCGTCGAAGCTTCTGTGTACCGAGTTTAACTCGTCGCCTCATCCTAACCTTTTCAAGCTTGCAAAGCTAGGGTGTATTTTTTTTCGACGAACTGGAAGAATAAGCATGTTTATGTGGCTCCAAATGTGGAGACTTTCCAGATAAGTTTCTTAATGTTTTCTCCTTTTCGTTCCAGATCATTCGCTTTCCACTTCTTAGATGCAGGTGTACTTGCGCCCTCGATCAAATCATTGCCCTCAGATTCCCTATCTTCACCAGGCAACTCGAAATTTTTGGCACCGCTATATCTATCTTCATCGCTCAATTCGCCGCCAGACACACTTCTGAACACGAAATGTGCAGTTTCGTCTCATGCAGCAACTCTGCCCTTCTTGGCGGACGCCATCTTTGTCAGGAGGAATTCCGCACTCGAGAAAAATATCTGATCGGATACTGGCATTCATATATCACCGAAAAGCAACCATGTCGCCAAGGCATGGCAGCATCCCATTCGGCACAACAACGTTGTATCAACATTGAGAATAGATTGAAACGTTGAGACTTGGTTGAAGTTGAGAATTCGACGAAAAATCAACATCAGTGAAATGCTAGCTATTCATAATTAACCGTATTTTCAGCATTTGGTGACTACTCGTGAACTAGGGAAGTCGTTCAGAGGCTATTAGGAG